CCCCCCCCCCCCCCCCCCGGGGGGGGGGACCACTGGGCGTGCTGCATGGCGCAATGTGACGCCGGCCACCGTGCCAGGGCAATGTTCTGGCGCCGGGTCTCGCCTGTGGCCCGCCCTGCGGCGGGGCCTGTGACGCCCCATTGGCGCCTGGGCCCCTGCCCTCCAGCGTGCCGCCGGTCGGCCGGCTCCCGGTGGCCGCGTGCCTGCGCGGCACACTGGCGCCCCCGCGCCTCGCCCCCCCCCCTCTTGGCGCGGCCGGCTCTTCGTCGGGACATCGCTCATCGGCCCAGAGCACGGCTCTGGCACACCTGCCCGCGCGCCGGTGTGTCCCACTGCTCGGCCGGCCGGGCGCATGCCCGTGCCGATACAAGCGCCCGCCTGACACCTCCCGGCGCCAAGGGTCCTGATCTCGCCCTCGGCCGTGACAAGATCGCCCGAGCATCTGCTGCCTGGCCAGGGGGGGGGCCAGCGCGCAGCCAACCGGCAGGCGGCTGTCCCAGGCCCCGGGCGCAGGGCCGCCGCCGGCGGAGCCGGGAGCCCTGCCGCCGGCGCCCCGGCGACATCCCCCACAAGGGTAGCATGGCCGTGGCATGGCCACCGGGCTGCCGGTACTGCCCCCCCCTCCCCCCCAGCCAGCACGGCAGGCTGTCGCGGGCCGATGCCTCGCGGCCTGGGGCCGTGGGACATCGCGCCGCGGCTCGACCCCCGGCGCGCTGAGCCCCCCCCCCCCCTATGGGCGGCGAGCAGCCCGTCGCCGCCGGCCGCTTCCGACGGTGGCCGCCGCTCTGAAACGCGGCTGCTCACCTCGGCCGAGCTCCCGCACCCGGCGATTGGCCGGCATCAAGACGCCCGCTCCCCCGGGGGGAGGGCCCGGGCGCGGCAAAAAAGGTATGTCCGAACCAGGACTCGAACCTGGGACATTCTGTGTGTTAGACAGATATGATAACCATCTACATCATTCGGACGCGGCGGATGGGACCCGGCCGCGCGCGAGGCCATTTTTAGGACGCCGCCTCTGCGGCCCCGCGCCCCGCCGCGCAGGGGGACCGGCCGCAGCCCACGCACACGAGGACACCGCACACGCCGCAGCCTCGCAGGAAGCGAGCCCCGCGCCGGAATCGCCGGCTCCCCGCCGAAGGCGCGGCCCCTCCCGTGCGCCGTGGAACCCCCGCACCTGGCGCGGGCCGCGGCACCGTCGCCCGAGCCCCGATACACCCCAACCGCGTCTTGCCTCGCGGGCCATGCCCCGCCGTCCCCTGCGGCGGGCCGCCCCGCCCCCGCGCCGGGCACGTTCCCGCGTGGCCGGGGTGCGCGGGGTCCGACGCGCCCCGAGCGCGCCGTGATGGCCGCCAGCAGCCCCGGGGGTGTCTCACCCCCCGCTCTTGGGGGGGCGGGGGAACTACCGCACGGGGCGGCGTGCTCCGGGGCCCGGGTGCGCGGGGAACAGGCCCGCGGCACTGCCAACGCATGGGCCCCTCACGCATGGGCCCAAGACAAATGTACGTCCTCGGCGCACGTACATTTGATGGTGTGTATCATATTTGTTTATTTGTTTTTGGTCCATTTCGCGCGATCCGGCCGTTTCGGATTTTCGCCTGAACCCTCCTTCTCTGCAAGGGGGATCGGCCAACTCCGGGGCACGGTCGCGCCATCCCGGGCGGCGGCATGTATCACTCGGCGCCGGATCCGGCGGGGCTCATCCCGGGGCTCGTCTTCCCGGGCCCATATGTTCGTTCGGCACCCCCCGGCCGGCCCTTGCTCGGCGCCCACAGGCAACGGGCCCCGCCCGGCGGCTCACCACCGCGGCAGGGGCAAGGGCGCCGGGATCCGTTGCGGGCGTCGCGGCCCGCGAATGGCGCGGCCGGTTCCAAACTCACCCGGAGCACCCCCCAGGCATGGGGCTCCTTGGCGTCGCCGGTCCCGGAGCCGCCCCCCGCCAAGTTCCCTGCGGTGCGACGTGCGACACATACACATGCACGCGCACAGGGGCCCGGGGCCTGGGGATTGGGCCCGGCCGAGGTGCCTCTCGCCGGACCGATGCATTCGCCGCCCGGGCGGCAGTGCGCTCGCCGCCGCCAGCCCACCACCGTGGCCGCAGGGTCGAGCTGCCCTCCCGGCCGGCGGCCCACGCCCCCGATGAGGCCTGCACGGCGCGCGGCCCGGCCCCAGGGGGGATCCTAGAATGGGTCCTGCGAGCATGCGCCAGGCCGCCCCGCCGGTGTGCCTTGGGCATGCGCCTCGGAGGACTGCACGCCTGGCGAGCTCCCCTCCCCCCTCTCTCCGCCTCTCCATGGCTCTCCTGCGGCTCGTGTGGTGTGCCAGACATGCACGCACGCACACGCACACACACACGCACACACGCACCCTGCATGGTGATGATGCGGCCCGCCTCGTGGCGTCGCGTTGACCCTCGGGTCCGTGATCTCGCCGGCTGCCCGGCGCCCGTGCCCCTCCCTGTGGACGAGGCATGGCCACCTGTTGGCTGCTCTCTGCCCTTGGCCCGAGCACTCGCCGCCACGTTGGCACTCCGTGGCATGAGCGGTGGATGCGCGCCCGGGCCGCCGGGAGCGCCCGCTGGCCCTCGCACAGGCAGCCGGCCGCCCAACTGACCGCCCTCCTCCCCTGAGATCCGCCCGCAGGCCGGACCCCTCGGCGACGGGCGGCCTAACACCCTCCAGGCCGGCATAACACCATCCCCCCCCTCTCCCGATCGCCGCCCAGCTGGGCGCGCCTCCATCCGACGAGCGCGCGCCGAAAGGCCCCTGCCGACCTCGCGGCGCAGAGGCGCACAGAACCCCAGGTGTACGTTGGTACCTGGACCGACACCTGCGCGTCCCCTGGCCGTGTTATTTACTTCTTCCTGCCGTTCCGCCTCTTTTGTGCGAGCCCCCGCCCAGGAGCCCGAGGCCTTGGGCCCAAGCCCCACATCGCCATCTGCCACCCCGCGGCCTGCCCCCCCCCCCCCCTTCCTTGTGCCCTTGCCCTGTCCCTGCCCGTCGCCCCTGCCTCCGGCCAGCATCGTTTTCTTCCCCTCGGCGGTCGCCCACCCGCCTGCCAGCGAGCGCCACAAGCATGCTTCCCGTGGCCGGCCCCGGCCCGGGCCCGGGCCCGGCGCGGCTGGCCGCCCTGGTCATCCTGTGCGGCATCCTGCTCGCCACGGCGGGAATCTGCGCCATCCCCTCCCAGCAGCCCCTCTATGCCATGATCACCGACGACCCGCTGCCCGGAGCCGGGTACATGGTCCCCGGCGAGGGTGCCGCGTCGGTGGCCCTGTACCCGGGGCCCGGCCAGCAGCCGGACCAGGTGCTGGTGTACGGCCAGCGGGACCCCTCGCGGCCGGGGGTCTTCCCGGACTGGCGCGTCGGGTCGCTGTTCCACCAGCCGCCCGGGGAGCCGCGCTTTCGCCTCGGCGGCGCGGTGCCCGGGCCGGTGTCCGGGCGGGTGATTCTGCCCACCGCCACGGGGGCCGCCCTGCCGGGCTTCGTGCTGACCGTCGAGCAGGAGCTCCTGTGGTTCCCGACGGAGGGCGGCCAGCCGGCCGGCTGTCACCTGGCCGGGCCCTTTGCCCTGCTGGCCGGCGTGGCCCACACGGCCGACGACCTGGATGTCCTGGTCCGGTCTGCCGACGAGCTGGCCGTGGCCTTCCTCCAGGATGGCCGGTGCACCATGGACCGGCTTGCGCTGCCGGCCATGTGGGCCTCGGTGCCGGCCACGCCGGTGGCCGGCCTCCCGCGCGGGCAATTCATCCTCTTCCACGACCGGGAAATGCTTGCCTACGCCTCGGTGGCCGGGCGCCTGGAGTACGCCGGCCGGCGGACCGAGGGCGCGGCCATCCGCCAAGCGCTGGCCACGCGCCTGGGCCCGGGGCTGCCCGGGCACTTTGACATGGCCATCCTGCTGGACACCCAGCAGGTGCATTTGCTCCAGGACTGCCAGGTCCTCGCGGAGAGCTGGCTCTGCAAGCGGGACCGCATGGTGAGCCCGGCGCCGGACATGCCGGCCGAGGGCCGGCTCCTGGCGCCGGACTTCCGCACCCAGCCGGCCGGCGATCCGGCCGTGGTCTTCTATGTGCCCCCTCCGATGACGTCCCGGGTGCATGTCTGGCGTTTGGCCACCGACGAGACTCCCGTCCAGTGGGCGGCCTTTCGGCTGCCGCCCATCGCGCGTGGGCTAGTGCTGGACTTGCGCCGGATGGCCCTGGCCCCGGGGATGCGGCGGTATGCCCTCGGCGCCGCGGGCGTGCTTCTGCTCGGGGCCACGGACTTCCTCTGCGACACCGATGAGTCGATCACCTGCCTGCCGGTCATTCCCTTTCCGTTCAACTTTGATCACTCTCAAGTTGGCTGGGCGTGTGCTGCCGGGCAATTTGAAGCCCCGTTCATGTCCCCCGGGCGCCTGTGCCACGGCTGTGCCGATGGTCATTCGGTTCTCTGGTCGGCGTCCACCACGGATAGTTGTATGTCTTTCCTGCCCTTCGCTGTCCGGCCGGTCGGCCGCCCCGTGGTGTATCCTGCCCTTGCCCCTTGCCTCTCTCTCTCTCTCTCTCTCTCTCTCTCTCAGTTTCTCTCAGTTTCTCTCAGTTTCTCTCTTTCTCAGTTTCTCTCTTTCTCAGTTTCTCTCTTTCTCAGTTTCTCCCCCTCCCCCCCCCCTTGCCCTCCAATGCCTCATGCACTAATGGCTTGGATCC